TCAATCTGATTCTAATCAGAATTCTAATCAGAAGAGAGACAACACACACAGTTTGAACAAACAAAGTTTATTATAAAGAATTATAGAATAGAACAGGGTTCTGGTGAAAAGTACAGAGAACTGTAAATAATATAGGAACAGTGGGTATAAGGAGAAACCACTGTCCCTATGCATGAAGTACAGTGTCCAAGGAAGACCACTCTTTTCTTTTATTCCCACTCCCCAAAGGGCTAATATCCAGGTCTTGTTGGAGAGGGCATGCCCATGGCTCACTGAATAGTAAAGATGTCATTGAGGGGCTGCACTATTGGAACTTGCTGAAAATATCCCTGTGTCACTTTCCCGAGGATGCCGTAACAAATTACCGCAAATTTGGTAGCTTAAAAACAGAATTTTATTCTCTCATGGCTCCTGAAACCAGAAATCTGAAATCAAGATTTTGTTGAGCTGTGCTCCCTCTGGAGGCTCTAGAGGAGACTCTTTCTTTACCTCTTCTAACTTCTGTTGGTTCTAGCTGCTCCTTGGCTTTTGTCTGCATCACTCCAATTCCTGCCTCTGTCTTCACAAGGACTGTTTTCTCTTTCTCCAATCTTCTGCGTTTGTTTTATGATACTTGTTATTGGATTTAGAGCCGACTCATATAATCCAAAGGAGCTATGGTGGCATAGTGCTTAAGGTATTTGGCTGCTAACTGGAAGGTTGGCAGCTAAAACCCACCAGCTGAGCTCTGGTGGTGTAGTGCCTAAGGCATTTGACTACTAACCAGAAAGTTGCCAGTTCAAATCCACCAGCCACACTGAAGAAGGAAGAGTGGGTAATCTACTTCTGTAAAGATTTACTGCCTCCTGAACCCAAAAGGGGTCATGATGAGTTGGAATCGACTCATGGCAGAGAGTTTGGTTTTGGTTCATATAATAAAGTATGATTTCATCTCAAGAACCTTCAATCTTCAGCAAATAAATTTTTTAAAAAATAATTTTCAGGAGAGCCACCATTCAGCACATAAAAATGCCTTCTGGATTTTGGCAATAATCAGCTGTATAGGGTGCATGGGAAAGCTGTTCAATTGAGACGTCTCACTGGAGGTACTCTGCTGTGAAATCATTCAAAGTCAGGGAGTCCTGGAGAAGGCTGCTGGCCACTCACTACAGATAGCTGCTGTGCACTGCAGTATCTTAGTTCAGAAGAAGGAGCCTGTTGGGCAGGCTTATAAGAATCAGTAAGCAAAAACCCTTTTCTCTTGCAATCTCACCATTATCTTCTACCCCAAAAGTTTGACATCATTTGTGACAATGGGAAAATATTTGAAAGGCTCAGATCTATTTTCATAACTGAAGGCAAAAAGTGAGACTAGATAAACAGACAGCAGGATTGTTTATTCAAAAGTCTACTACATATATTACGTCTCTAACAATTAGAGAAAGAGTAACAAAATAAGGCCTACAGTCACAAGAAGAAAAGAAATAATAAAGATTTGAGCACAAATAAATGAAGGAGAAAATAGAAAGACAATAGAAAAAATCAACAAGACCAGAAGTTGGTTTTTGAAAACATTAATAAAATTGACAAACCACTGGCAAATTTAACAAATGAAAAGATAGAGAATACAAATAACATGAATAAGAAGTGAATGGGTGATGTCACAACAGAACCAAATGAAATAAAAAGGATAATATCAGGATAGTATGAAGAACCATACTCCAACAAATTTGAAAATCTAAAAGAAGTGGACAGATTTCTAGAAACATAGTACTTACTTAAATTAGCACAGACTGGAGGTAGAAAATTTGAACAAGCCCATAACAAAAGAAGAAACTGAACAGGTCACAAAAAAAATTTACTAACAACAACAAACAAAAGTCCTGGCCTAGATTTTTTCACTGAAGAATTCTACCAAACGTTCAGCAAAGAAATGACACCAATGCTACTCAAACTATTCCAGAGCACAAAAAAAGAATGGAAGCCTCCCAAGTTCATTTTATGAAGCAAGCACAACCTTGATACCCAAACCAGGCAAAGACATCACTAAAAAGGAAAAATACAGACCAATATCTCTCATGAATATAAATGTAAAATCATCAACAAAATTCTAGCCAATAGAATCCAACAACATATCAAAAAAATAATACATTATGACCAAGTGGAGTTCATACCAGGTATGCAAGGATGGTTCAACACTAGAAAAACAATCAAAGTAATTCATCACATAAGTAAAGGAAAGGAAAAGAACCACATAATCATATCAAATGACACAGAAAAGGCATTTGATAAAATCCAACACATATTCCTGATAAAAACTATCAGCAACATAGGAATAGAAGGGAAATTCTCAACATAATAAAGGACATTTAAAAAAAAAAAGTCAATATTATTCCCAATGGACAGAAATTGAAACTATTCCCCTTACCAATGGGAATGAGACAAGGATGCCCTCTATCACCACTTATATTCAACATTGTACTGGAAGTCCTAGCCAGGGAAATAAGGCAAGACACGGAGATCAAAGGCATCCAAATTGGTAAGGAAGAAGTCAAACTATCCCTATTTCCTGATTATATGATCCTATACCTAGAAAACCCAAGAGATTCAGCAAGAAAACTACTGTAATTAATTGAGAGATTTAGTACAGTGGCAGGATACAAGATCAACATACAAAAACCAGTTGGATTCCTCTACACTAGCAAAGAGATTGCTGAAAAGGAAATAAGGAAATTAGTACCATATATGATAGCTACCAAAAAAATAAAATATTTGGGAATAAATCTTACCAGGAACACAAAAGACCTGTACAAAGAAAACTACAAAAGACTACTTCAAGAAATCATTAGAGATCTACATAAATGGAAGAACATACCATGCTCATGGATAGGAAGATTGAACATTGTGAAAATGTCACATCTACCCAAAGCAATCTATACATTCAATGCAATCCCAATCCAGATCCCATCAACATTCTTTGAGGATATGGAAAAACCAATCACTAACTTCATACGGAAAGGAAAGAGACCTCGGATAAGCAAAGCAATATTGAAGAAAAACAAAGTAGGAGGGCTCACACTCACAGATCTCAAAACCTACTATACGGCCACAGTAGTCAAAACAGCCTGGTATTGGTACAATGACAGACACATAGACCAATGGAATAGAATTGAGAACCCAGAAATAGATCTATCAACCTATGGTCTGCTGATCTTTGACAAAGGGCTGAGATACATTAAATGGGGAAGGGATGGTCTCTTTAACAAATGATGCTGGCAAAACTGGATAACCATTTGCAGAAAAATGAAACTGTGAGGACTGAGAAATCTTTTAACCAGAACCCTTTAATATGGAGACTAACACATCCCACGCTGAGTCCTAATGGCTTTAGTGTGGAGATTAGCAATAATAATAATCATAAAAATAAACTTTCCTTTTGTTATTACATTATTGTGTCTGTGGTGGCTTCTTCATACATCATTCCTCTCCGGACTCGGGCCCAACATTTGGTGTGTTGGCCGGGAATGAAAAATTCGGAACGAGTGAAGTTGCCTGCGATAGTAGGAGAGTTTCAGGAGGCCAGCTGGACTAGAATTCGTCCTTTACATGGGACACTAGTCCATCAGGAAAGGCTGGAAACTGGCGGACGTGCCAGATGAATGGGGGAAGGAGCCCTTCCCCAAACTCACAGGCAGGCTGTGGGCGCTTTTTGGTAAGAATAGCCCACTTCAGGGGAGGGGGGGAAGCACCTCCCGGATATTTGTGCTGTTTTGGTGTCGCTTGTTGTGTGGCCACTTGTCTCTTATTCGTTCTGTGTTTTCTTAAAGGAGGTTGAAATGGGACAGAAACAGACTACCCCTCTGTCCCTGATGGTTGAACATTTTTCAGAGTTTAAAACCAGAGGATCTAATTTGTCTGTGATAATTAAGAAAAATAAACTAATAACTTTTTGCTCTTTAGAATGGCCCTCTCTTGAGGTAGGATGGCCCCCGGAAGGCTCACTGGATGGAAAGGTGATCGCAGCCGTATTCGACCGAGTCCAAGTGCCAGGCCCCCATGGGCACTTGGACCAATTTCCTTACATTTTAGTGTGGCAAGATATAGTGACTAACCCGCCCCCATGGCTAAAACCTTTTCTTCCAAATCTCTCTGTCAAGGTGTTAACATCCTCACTTGGGACTAGCAAAAAGGAGAAACCGAGATGACCTGGGTCCTGAGCTGCTGTTCCACTGGTTTTGCCTGATTCCCAGGCTCACCCCGATCTGATGGATCTAGAAAGCAGTGTGTCTCCACCTCTCTATGCCCCTCCGCCACCTTCCCACCCTCTCCAGGCTCCACAAGTATTGGGAGGGAATGGAGCGAGTGCTCCAAGCGTGCCGCCTGTCATTACGGGCCCAGCCTCCGGTCTCTGCCCATGCCACAGGGGCTCCCAGGAGGCTGCAGCTCCATCGTCTACTGTCCAGGCGCTGCCTCTCAGAGTGATAGGCCCACCCCGTGAGGACGGAAGCAGAACCTGGCAGTACAGGCCATTTTCAATGTCGGACCTGTATAACTGGAAAGCGCAGAACGCCCCCTTTTCTGAAAACCCCCAAAGCCTAATTAATTTGTTAGATTCTATATTGTTTACTCATAACCCCACTTGGAATGATTGTCAGCAACTATTGCAGGTTTTGTTCACCACTGAAGAAAAAGAAAGGATCTTAACCGAGGCCAGGAAAAATGTGCCGGGGGATAATGGGCATCCGACAACGCTTCAGAATTTAATTGACGCTGGGTTCCCGTTATCTCATCCCGGTTGGGATTTTGAACTATCAAAAGGTAGGGAGCATCTCCAAAAGTACCGCCAGATTCTAATGGCCGGTCTCCAAGCAGCAGCAGCAGCAGCAGCAGCAGCAGCAGCAGCAGCAGCAGCAAGGAAGCCGACTAATTTGGCCAAGGTAAACTTAGTCAGGCAGGGGCCGACAGAGAGCCCTGCACCATATCTAGAGAGGTTGATGGAAGTGTTTAGACTGTATACTCCCATGGCCCCGCAAGCCGATGAGAGTAGAGCAGCAGTGATCCGATCCTTTGTAAACCAAGCAGGCCCTGATATTAGAAGAAAACTTCAGAAGATAGATAGATTAGGTGAGCAGACCCTATAGGACCTAATGAAAGTAGCAGAAAAGGTGTATAATACTAGAGAAACCCCAGAAGAAAGGGAGGAGAGAATACGGAGGGAGGAAAGGGAATTCCAAGCTAAAGAAAATACACAAAATCAGAGGGAGTTGGCAAAGATCTTCTTTGCTGGAGCTTGGGGAGACATAGGGAAAGGGAGAGGAAGGAGACCAGACCACCATGACAGGCCCCGCTGGGACCCACCCCGGCCCCGAACCAATGCACATTTTGCAAAGGGATTGGACACTGGAAGAATGAATGCCCAAAGAAAGAGAACAAAAAATATGAAAAGCCTGCTCCTGTTAGAACGTTGGTGGCAGGCGAGGATAGCGACTAGGGGAGACAGGACTCAGAACCCCTCCCTGAGTCTTGGGTAACCTTGAAAGTGGAGGGGAAGCCAGTAGAGTTTCTGGTAGATACAGGGGCTCAGTACTCCGTCCTCAATAAGAAGGAGGGAAAGATTTCTTCAAAAACCAGCCTGGTCCAGGGGGCAACAGTGGCAAAGCAGTATCATTGGACAATGCAGCGACAAGTGAATCTGGGAACTAAGCAAGTGTCCCATTCATTCTTAATTGTACCTGACTGTCCTGCAGCACTGATAGGAAGGGACTTATTATCCAAAGCCCAAGCCCATATATTCTTTCACAAAAACGGTGTCCAGGTTACTGATGGGGAAGGTTCCCCCCTACAGGTCCTGATGGTCGCCTTACATGACGAATACCACTTGTATAAAGGTGTAGAAGACCGATGTGCAGACTTAATGGATATAGCTGCATGGCTGGAAGAGTTTCCCCAAGCCTGGGCAGAAACTGGAGGAATTGGATTGGCGAAACACCGACCACCCATTATTGTGGACTTAAAGCCCTCTGCTGTACCAGTAAGAGTCCGACAGTATCACATGCCCAGGGAAGCCCGGGAAGGCATACAACCCCATATCCAGCGGCTGTTACAGGAAGGGGTACTAAAGAGGTGCCGGTCTGCATGGAATACACCTCTCCTCCCAGTAAAGAAACCAGGGGGAGAGTACCGACCAGTGCAGGATCTGAGAGAGGTAAATCGCCAAGTTGAAGACATACATCCCACAGTCCCTAACCCTTACACTCTGCTCAGCAATCTTCCTCCAGATCATGTGTGCTATACTACCCTGGACTTGAAGGATGCTTTCTGTAGCCTGCCCCTAGCCCCACAGAGCCAAGACATTTTTGCCTTTGAATGGGTTGACGAAATGGATAAAATCCTCGACCAGCTGACCCGGACAAGGTTGGTCCAAGGGTTCAAGCACTCGTCTACTTTGTTTAATGAAGCCTTGAGTGATGACTTACGTGAGTACCGGAGTCAAAACCCGCGAGTAACTTTACTACAATATGTAGATGACTTGTTAATAGCAGCCCCCAACCGAGCAGGGTGCCTCAAAGCAACCAGGAAATTGCTCACCTCTCTGGGAGAGCTGGGATATCGAGCTAGTGCCAAAAAAGCTCAGATAGCTAAGCCAGAAGTCACATACTTGGGATATAAGTTGAGAGCTGGGCAGAGGTGGCTCACTGAAGCCATGAAACAGACAATCCCACAGATTCCCCGACCCACAAGCCCGAGGCAGATGAGAGAATTTCTAGGAACAGTAGGTTATTGCCGGCTGTGGATTTTAGATTTCACCACAAAGGCGAAATCACTCTATGAGCTCAGTAGGGAAGGGTCGGAGTGGGACTGGACTCCTGAGAGGGACTCAGCTTTTATAGAATTTAAGGAAGAACTCCTTAAAGCCCCAGCATTAACATTACCTGACCCCACTAAATCATTTCATCTGTTTGTTGATGAGAAAAAAGGAATAGCCAAGAGGGTCCTAAAACAACAGCAGGGACCATGGAAGAGGCCAGTAGCATACCTCTCAAAGAAATTGGATCTAGTAGCAGCAGGATGGCCCCCTTGCTTGAGAATTATTGCTGCCACCGCTCTGCTAGTTAGAGATGCAGATAAGTTAACCCATGGACAGACTTTGAAAGTAACCACTCCCCATGCCATTGAAGGAGTACTCAAACAGCCTACAGGGAAATGGATAACCAACGCCAGATTAACTCATTATCAGAGTTTATTACTTGACACACCAAGGGTACAATTCTTAACCCCAACAGTTTTAAACCCCACCACCCTGCTGCCTAACCCCGACCTAGATAAACCTCTGCACAACTGCTCAGAAATACTTGCAGAGGTAAATACGATCAGAAAGGACTTGCGAGACTGCCCGTTGGAAAACAGTGACTTCATTTGGTTCACGGATGGAAGCAGTTTCGTACAGGATGGACTGAGGTATGCAGGAGCCACGGTCGTAAATAACCAGGAGGAGATTATTTGGGCCAACGCTTTACCGCCAGGAACTTCTGCCCAGAAAGCTGACCTTATTGCCCTGGCGGAGGCATTGGAAAGAGCAGAGGGGAAGAGGCTAACGGCCTATACAGACAGTCATTATGCGTATGCAACTCTTCATATACACGGCGCCATCTACTGAGAGCATGGGTTCAAAAACACAGAAGGAAGAGAAATAAAGAATTAGACGGAAATTCTTCGCTTGTTATCAGCTGTGACCCGGCCGTGAATGGTAGTGGTGGTTCACACCCCAGGACATCAGAGAGGACACTCCCTTGAAGCAAGAGGCAACCGAGCCGCAGACCAGGCAGCTAAGAGAGCTGCCCTCCAAATGGTACGAACTCTAGTAACTAACTTACCTTGCCCACAACTGGAACCCCTGCCTCCTACTCCCAACTACTCTGGAGAAGACATACGGTGGGTTGAGAGATCACCACAGATAGAAAAATATCGGAATGGATGGTATATGGACTCAAAGGGAAAACTGATTCTCCCGGAAGAATTGGGGTGGCATCTTCTCACACACCTCCACCAAGTGACTCACTTAGGGGAACGGAAAATGTTGGAGTTATTGAACAAAGGGCAGGTCCGTATGCCCCATCAGAAGCAAG